AAACATCCAGTGGTGACTATTCCACTGCTTTCCTGGGCAATCTGTTGTGGTGCTCAACTATTCTTGCCCTTACCCCAATGTCTAATTTCTGTGGCCTTTTCCAAGAAGCTCATTACTTCTTGTCCTAGATCCACTGCATGCAGAGAAGAGCTAATTCCCTCCTGCTCTGCAGCCAAGCAACCTTTTGCATATTTGAAGACAATATAATGTCTCCTTTCAGTCACGTCTTCTCTTTGTCAGACTAAATGCTTTGTAAATTGTTCTAAGACTGGAATAAAAATGCTCTGCAGGATGGATTTTTGAAGGGCTCTGCTCCAGTGTCATCACCAAGTTTGAAGCAAAAGCATTTTTAAAAGCAGCATTTTCTCACTAGGGATGGAGAAGGCAGTTTGGCAGAGCTGGTCCCAAAGGCTATGTCCATGCTGTCATCCCAACTGTGCCTAACACCTTCCTGAAATCCAGACTTGCCAACTGTCTGTGCTGTCGACACGCAGACACCAGTGAAGGCTGAGATGAGGAGGGGAAGGTCAAGCCAGCCTTGGTGTGGATCTAAGTTTTCCTTCTCACAGTCTCTGCAGATTATTCATGAGCGGAACATGTGATAGCCCAGCCTGTCAGCAGATACTCTGATTGTAGCTCTGCTGAAGCTCCATATGGATGCTTTCAGCCTGAGCTGCAGCCCTGCTAACAGTTGGTAGTGTGGATGAAACTACACGCCCTGCAGCGCTCGGTATTGTTGGTCCTGCCACCAGGACTCACCTGCACACCCCAAAAACAACGCTACGTGGTTCCACCAGGGCTTGTCCTCCTGCCTGCAGCCACACAGCCCGTGGCAGCTCCTGAGGCACAATTCTGAGAGCGTGGTGGGATTTCCTCAGCTCAAAAAATGTGGTGGTTTTGTTGTTTTTGCTTTTTTTAAAAAAAGGCAGCCATTCAAATAAAAAAAAAAAATTCTGTTGAAACAGAAATTTGGGATTGCTAGTTCAAGTTTTAGATGTATCAGCCTTCTGCTGATTATCCACTATGTCTCACCTGGACAGTGATGTGATGGATAGAGCATTCATAGACCTTAGGGCTGTTTTTCCTTCCTTGGTTAGTCACATCTTTAATGGTCCCATCCTATAATTATGCAGCCACCGGAACTGTATGACCTTGAATCACAAAATTAAGTCATGAACTCTCATTCCAGCACGTGAGCACAGCATCACTTTTAACTTCACTACATTGTTCCACCTCAAAAATTGCAAAAACCCTGATCATCCCCAAGCTGTTTAGAAACTGTTCCTCCTCCCTCTGCTCTCCTTTTGATTAAGGACACTGCTCTCTGCAACTCCCTGTCCCTTCAGCTGCAGAAGATGGGTTGTACAGAGAGATTGTGTAGCTCTATGGCTGCAAAATTGTTCCTGTATTTCTAAACACGGTGCTGGGAACATAAGTGAGAGGAAAAGAAGGAAAGGCAGCTGAAAGTCTACAGCCAACAGCTTGTGTCAGAAAGCTGCTCAAGGAGGGAACAGTTGGGCATTTTTACTCACGACGCGGTATCTGCAGGATGAACAAACTTGGCTTGTTTGTGATCTCATCAATGCCTGACAAACCGTGCCAGGCCGGGCGGTGGGCTTCAAAGTGAACCCAAACACCTGCTCCTCAAACTTTGTTCCCTGAACACAAACTTTGCCACGGCCTCCTCACGCTTCAGTCAATCCATGCTGAAGGCCGATCAGCGAGCTCGCGTCGCTCGCGGAGCCGAAGTCGCTCGTGGGCACGTGTTGTTGAGGGAGGACATGGTGGGCCACCCTGAGGGGGCCATGGCCATGTGTCTGCCATGTGTGGCAGGGCACTCCAAGGTGGCCAAGGATGTGGAGCCCTAAAAGAGTCCAGAGGAAGGCCATGGAGGTGATCCAGGGGCTGCAGCACCTCTCCTGTGGAGACAGGCCGAGAGAGCTGCGGCTGTTCAGAGGCCTCACAGAGGCCTTCCAGTGCCTGCAGGGGCTCCAGGAAAGCTGGGGAGGGGCTTTTTATGAGGGCTTTTAGTGAGAGGACAAGGGGGGGATGGATTAAAACTGGGGGAGGTGGAGGTTAAAACATGAGGAAGAAATTCTTGGCTGTGAGGGTGGAGAGACAGGATGCCCAGGGAGGCTGCGGCTGCCCCGTCCCTGGCGGTGCTGAAGGGCGGGTTGGATGGGGCGGCCTGGGATGGTGGGAGGTGCAGGGGGCTTGGAATTAGATGGAAAGGCTGGAATTAGATGGAAAGGTTTGGATTAGATGGAAAGGCTGGGATTAGATGGAAAGGCTGGGATTAGGTGGAAAGGCGGGAATTAATTAGATGGAAAGGCTGGAATTAGATGGAAAGGCTGGAATGAGATGGAAAGGTGGGAATTAGGTGGAAAGGTTGGAATTAGATGGAAAGGCTGGGATTAGATGGAAAGGCTGGAATTAGATTGGAAAGCCTGGAATTAGATGGAAAGGCTGGAATTAGATGGAAAGGCTGGGATTAGATGGAAAGGCTGGAATTAG